GGGCGTACAAAAGTGGAGTTCTGTGTTATTCACAGGTGAAACTAGATTTTGTCTTTAGCCTGATTAAAGAGGAATAACTGTTTGGAGAGGACTTGGTCGACAAAAGAGACTTAGGCATCTTCAGGGTGTTCGTCCATATAGTAGTAAACAAGTTATGATGTAGGCTGGAATAATTTTTCGTCATCGAACTGTTCTCTTTTTTGTAGAAGACACTTTGAATCAATCTCAATGTATTGATCGTATTTTAGAACCTGTTATCCTTCCATTTTAAAATGCTGCAGGTCCTGATTTGCGTTATATGCAGGATAATGCAAGACCACATACTGCAGTAACAATAAGAGATTGGTTTCAATCAGGATATTATACTTTTACCGCGGCCAGGAAAATCGTCAGATCTTTATCTTATCGATTATGTATGGGATATGCATCAGAAACAGGTTGCTCCTCATCTGCACAATGTTTATACTAAATAAGTTCTTCAAGATCTTCTCAAACAGGAATGGAACCTATTGCCTAAAAACCAAATTGATAATTTAATTTTAAGCATGCCAAGGAGCACCATCAGCTTGCATCACCACAAACTGGATGCAAGAAGCTCAAAATAGAAGTATGTGGAAAATTTTACGGGAAGCCTACGTTCAGCAGTGGACAAATATAGGCTAATTGATGATGATGATGCCAAGGAGGTGTCAAGCTGTTATTAATGCTGCTAAAGAAAACACAGATTATTAAACACATTTTTTGTTAGATTTTTGTTTGCATTAACTTTTATATTAATAATTTCCATTAAATTATTGCACTCCTTAACTTTTCTTTGATTATTTCATCATAAAGACATCATAGTAAACTAAAATTGAGCTGAATTTATTTCTGACAAATAAAGCATTATAACGGTATATCACTTTTTAAAATCCAATCAAAATTGATGTATATATGAGAAAAAAACTTTGTGTTTCATAGACATTTTTTATGTGTTTACTTATCAACGGGCAAACCAACATACTGGCCAACTGTGTCTGAAATACACAGCCCGATCTGCTAGACTTGCCGGATCTGTTAAAAGAAATAGCAGCAAACTATACTTGACACTAGAAGCAAATTGAGATCTATTAACTGACCACACACCTACAAGTAGCTCTAAAACAAAAAAAAAACAAAATCCACACTCCAAAGCATAATAAGACAGCTAATAACTGAGAAACGGCCCAATACAACAGACTAACAAGACAGTTATGATCAGCCATAGTACATGCAATTCTACATTTGAACACAATATTAGTACCTTATCAAAAGATAATCACACAATCTGGAAAAAAAAAACAAACCACTAAAAAGACCTATAGAACTTCTTTAAGTGCCATACGCTTCCAGCGAGTAGATGTTCATATGTAATTATTCCAAACTTATACATCTCGCAGCCACGTATGTTGGACCTGGAATACTTAGCCTCTTCTTCATTTTACATTGCCCATTAAAATATATCTAAAGATCTCAGATTATATGCCACCAATTGGCAACTTTTGCTTGTTTTCTGATTGAATTTTGTAACAATTCACGTTCGGTTCTTACTCTTCTCAATAATTTCTTGTTTGTCACATAATATATGTAGTAGATTACGAAGATTGCACATTTCAAATTTTTATATGATGTTTCAGATTCGTATGTTAGGGGCCATATATTATAACATTTTACCATAAGGTAAACAATTACCAGAGACAACAGTACATGGAGAAGGATAGACTAGGAAAACTAGATAATAATAATGATAACCAAAACTTTCTGGATCATGCTTGTCCTATAAGGCTACCAATAAAACCTTTCAGTTCATCATAAGCAAAAAAAAAAAGAAATAGAAAAATCCAACAACCAGAACTATGATATTACCGGGCAAACCTCCAGATAAAACATCATCCTATCGACCAAAAATAACAAAAACAGGAAAAATATAAGTTTTTATTAGCAAAATTAGGTTCAAACTTTATAAAACTACAAAAATTGTTGAAAGTCTTGTCAATTCAAGCATAAACACTTAACTGTTCCCTACATCAAACAAAACAACATTTTTTGTAAAATTTCTAGTAAACTGTGACCACCTTTATATATATATATATACTATTATATATATATATATATATATATATATATATATATATATATATATATATATATATATATACCTATTTGTTAATATCTTAGTTTTTATAAATTGTGAATTTGTATTGATATTTTTTTTCTAAAAATTATGAAAATGATGAAAAGAAGTAAAATTTGATCAATAAGATAAATAAGCTATTTTGTTCTAATCTAAGTTGTGTCCAATTCTTAGACAATAAGATCTTACCTACAAATGTACCTTATAAGTCTAATTTTTACCGGTACTGCTTCCCTCCGGTTTTCCTTGGACTTAGTCTCCTCATGTTATTGGCGTGTGTTATATAGTATTTTAAAAAATACGAAACTGTAGAGATTTTGTGGTCTGAGTCTTCTTACCTAATAGTTATTATCGTATTATAAGTAAGGGTATTATAAGGTCGACGTCCCCATATTAGACCAGCCACTGTTCATAACTGGCAGATTTGTATATGGTCTTGTCAACAGTTTTTACATATAGGTCATCCGTGATATAAATGCTACTTTTACTGGCGCAACCCTAAAGCTGACTACTATAAAACCCAACGAGTTTCAATAGTAAGTAGGCTTGTGCACTCTGGACCACAATAAAACTTTTTCCCCAGACCTTTTGTCAAACGGGGCATTTTATAACAACTGGCAACAGCGCTTTCCATAAAAGCCAATGTGGTAGAGTGAGAAAGAAAATCATTTTTTCCCTAGATTCTGGGAACATTTGAAAACAATTTGAGGTTGATTCTGGTGTTTTTTGAGCGTTTGGTGTTTGGTGTTTGGAGCGTCTGGTGTTTTTTGAGCGTGTGGGTAGAACGGCTGGTTCGATCTTAACGTATGAGGTGTCATGTGACAGGATTTAGAAAAATTAAACATGGCGGCATACCAAAGGGACTTTAGACACATATATCTGCTATTATCGGGCCAACTGTGACGTGTGAGGTATCATATGACAAGATTTAGCGATTTATGCTATAAACACCAGCTTATATCACCTAAATGTCCGCGACCAAAACCTTTTAAACAGTAAGTAAAGCCATGACCTATCGTCTGACAAGACTTCTTTTTCTTTTCGTCTCGTGGCTTCTTCATAATGTAAGTCAATATAATTATTATTGATGGAGTTAAGCAACATTATTATATGTTGCTTAGCATATGCCATATGACACCTCGCACGTCAGGATTGGCCCGACAGTAGCAAAGATGCGTGTCTAAAGCCCCTTCGGCATACCGCCATGTTCAATTTTTCTTTGTCATCGTATTATATTCGTTAAACCCTCTCACATGACATTGTAAGTCTACCCAACACAAAACCCTCAACAAATTACCAGAATGAAACTTGAATTTTTTTCAAATTTCTTCAGAATCTAGGGAAAAATTGATTTTCTCTCACTCTGGCGCTGTTGCAAATTGTTGTAAAATACCCCGTTTATCAGAAGATCTGGGGAAAAAGTATTATTGTAGTCCAGAAAGCACATAGTTTATTTACTTTCAATATTTGCTAATAGGGAGCAATTTGTTATGTGTAGACAACTTGTGAGTTTCTTCCTAGAAGCTAATACACCTTAACATCGTATACTTTGAAGATACATTTCAAATTATAAAGAAATCTATCAGATCAAGAATCTTGTTTGGATCTGTTGGTTAATATAATAGTCCAGTTAACAGTGTTTCGTGCTTAAGGCATGGCCTAACATGACTAAGCAGAAAGTTAGCATGGCCTATCTCATTGGGCTATATAAGGCTGTGAGTGTCAACTCATATGTCTTTGATTTTAACAGATTTTAACGTATTTCTATTATTTGATAAGCCTATCTTAATACGACCCTGTTTAACATCTGTTTCGTGCAGAGAGGTTCGAAGAATATACGTCTCGAGGTTTATCCGACAGCTACTAGTTTTTGTTTCCAACTTCTTACAAAAATTTTTACAATACGAACCATCACACTGATATACCTTTCCAATATCTTTTAATCCGAATCTGGATTTCTTATAATTATAAATAAATTAATCCATTGGACATCTTTAAGTATATTCGCGTGCCAAAATTAAAGAAAATATAAAATGTGCAAAAGTTATGAATTAAATAAAAAGTTAGATAAAGTTAGGCAAATGAGATAAAACACCCAGTATCTTTGTTATTGATGACGTAAGACCCATTAAGCATGGGGTTTTTGAGATCGCCTAAGTATCCCCTTTTTACAGTTAACGCATGTTACTTTCCCAACGAAACTCCTTGTCTATATATATACATATCCTTTACATAAAATGTTGCTTGTAGTTTTTGTTGGTGTCCTAATAACCCTCTGTAGACTAGCATCAGTATTCGATCTTTTTATTATTGATTTTGGTGGCAGGAATGCATTTTGTGTATTCTAGGAAGATTCGGAATCTTCGTCCTGCGGGCACCGGCGTTTGGATTACTTCCTGACGCAGTTGCGTCGAAAAGGCCGAAAATAACAAATGCTTGTACTTCAACATGCCAAACACTCTCTCATACTGTGTATTGGTATGTGATAAATGATAGGGGAAAAGAAGTGAGACAAAATGGTTAAGGAGTCTACCACGTGAAAATCCTGGAAATATAATATCTATGTTCTAAAACCTAGAGGAAGACCTACACTAAGATATCTCGACGACATAAAAGAGGATCTTTGGCTTTAGAGGATGGAGAAGTAAGGCATTTAATAGGGACGAATGGAAGGACGTCTGGATGGTGGTTTTGCCTACCTTTCTTAGGAAAGAGGTATGTTTTGAACATTTTCACATCCCCTTCATAGGACAAAAAAAATTAAACATCAGTCTCAACTTGACGAAAAAACTGTACAATATACAAATAACATTAAAATGATAAACCTTGTAGCTACTCTACTACTTACTTGTTCCGAAATTCTGGAGAAGACTTCAATAAATTCTCTTGGGCAGTAAATTCTTTTCTTCGAGACAATCTTTGTAATCTCACAGATTCGTCGACATCAAGGAAAATAGCAACATCTGGTTTATATAAATCTTCTGGCCAACAATATACTTGGTCTCCTTTTGGAGGTAATTCTTGTAAGTCCTCGTTATCGTTAACTGCTTGGGCTATACCAAAAGCTGTGGTAGAGTGCCAGTATCTAAAATAAAGTACAAAGTTCCAGCTACAAGACGAGAAACAAGCACAACTGGTATAGGATGCTACATATTCTATGTAGTTGCTAGTCCTATAAGAATACGAGACTTGAACACAAATCAAAATTACATCAAGAGTCGTTCGTATTTACCTGCTTACATTAAAATATTATTTTAATTAAATGAAAGGCAGATATCGAGCACAGGATATTAATTAAATCTTGTCCAAGTACTTTCGCTCCTAGAGCATGTTCAGGGGCATCTGAAGTAAGCCAAAAAACGTTTTTCAACTGAAGAAAATTAATGAACTTCGATAAAAAACTCGAAGTTGATGGTTGATAAAAGTTTTTTTATGTAAAATAACGTTTTACACTTACTCAAATTTACTGTTCGCTGGTAACATGAATCTGCAATTGAAATTTTATTGAATACGGCTGTCATCAATAGCTTAATAATATATAATTCCTTCAACACACCTTCAACAGCAAGTTATCTGATTTTGGGAAATGCTAATCTTTAGTTAAGTCAATTACAGTAAAATGCTTGAACCTATTATTACTGTAAAGTGTAAAAAGCATATGCTTGTTACAGTTGACGCCAAAACTACAAACAATAGGAAGAAGAGGAAACGTGTAACCAATGTTACACTAAAACAGTTGCAACAAAAGGCAGTAAAGAATTTCAAAAGAAATCCAAACTTGTTTCTACATTTTGTAATGTTTGCCAACAATTTTACTGTGTGACATGTTTCACTAAAAAGCATTAAGTTATTCACGATCACCGGTAATACTAGTGGTACATACGTATGTAATATGTTACTGCAGTGCCATTAGGATCACACAGTGATCTTGCTATTTTTTTTTCAAAAAAAATTGTAAGAATGTAAACTTACTTTGTATTATTAACTATTTGTATGAATAAATATTGTTTTGTAAGAATTTTTCACTTTGGCACCTGGGAAACTTACCTAACACTCTTATGGAGGCAGCAATGTGTTAACCGTTGGCTTTTTATTTGAATTTATGGCTTTTGAATTCCATTCGAAATCACTGATAAATATCTGATATTGGATATTTTGCTAATTTTCCTTAAAATTATGATTCTAGATACGACTACGGTAATATAATTCTTGTTTTTGGAAGAAAAATCAGAGCGAAATCAAAGAGCGCGTGGATGGTGTGTATGGTGACTTTCTCATTGGTTTAACTTGAATGGCCCTATGCGACTTCTTTTTGTTTTCAAACTTGAAAACGGAAATTTAAATCGAATAAAGAGGTCACGAACGCCTACTTTACAGACTTCGATAAAACGTAATTTTTAGACGGATCAAAGAAGTTGGAGCATCACTGGGTCAAGTTTATCGAGTTAAAAGGAGACTATGTTGAAAAATAAGTCGCCACTTTCCCAAAAAAAATTTTCTTTTGTAGGTTAAGTACTTATCGGACCGCCCTCGTATACTCAAATAAATCAAAAGACTGACTCAATGAAAACAGGAATGCAGATTGGTTCAATTAGGCATGATTATAGTAAAGCTATTCGTATTATTCATCAGGTACCTATATAGTAAGTAAATAATAATAATAATAATATGTAATTATATAATAGTAAAATGAGTAGTTTAGATATAAAAAAAATGTAAGTGTTAAATTTTGCGTGTTTTTTTTTTAATTTGAACTTTAAAGATATCAAATTACCTGTCCATTACGATTGGTTTATCTTTTAGAGCCACTTGAACCTCCAAAGCAGCAATATAATTACCCAAAGAGTAATATGCTGAAAACAAAACTCTGTTTTCATCAGTTAGACTTCGAAGATGCTTGATACTTTCAGGAGGAGTTTGCCATTTTATTCCATTTATTTTTTTAGCAAATCGTAAACCGACGGTGGATTTGCCTAAAAAATATACATTTTAATATAGATTGGGATATGTAAAAAAATAAGTTAATAATTATTTTAACAGTTATCATTAAACATGTTAAAATATGTTCATGCTGCTTTCAAGCCAACCCTGCGCTCTTTACCAATCTATTCCAAGGGTCACAGCGACAGATTTTGATGCGAGAGGGCGTTTCCATCGACAGAGAATCAAGATCCTGATGAAAACAATGCATATTGTTAACCACATGTAGTGTTTTATATATTGTGACAATAAAACTACAATACGAGTTATAAATTCATTACCAACATATTACAATATATTTGATATAGTTTTAGATACAATTTCCTGAATTTATTTTTCACTGGCGATTGTTTTATTAAAATATTCAATCAATGTCCTCCTGAGATAATTTTTCAAATCCATTTTTTCAATCTAATAGTTTAAACTAGTGATTGTTACTTATCACTTAGTAATAGATGATATATATATATATATATATATATATATATATATATATATATATATATATATATATATTCTTTTATAAATTAGTTAAAACTGAATGGGAAGATAGGTATAATATGGAACATGTTCACAACTGTGAAGGTGTACAGCATTTATACTGTTTCTTAATCATGATTCCACGGTTCCTATCTAATTATTTTTCCAAAAGTTAAAGTAATTATTTTATTTGTGATTCCTTGTGTGTGATAGTACAGACCTACAGGCTGAATTAAATGGGAGTAGGCAAATATGGCGAGAAAGTTATGACATCTATCAGTCTCAAAATTAATCATAAGCACAAGCTTGTTATTAAGATTACCAACTGGAAAAACAAAGCAAAGAACAGAATGGCCGAAAATCCTAAAGCAAGCCAAGATCTAGAAAGGGTTATCGAGCTACTGATGATGATGGTGATGACGAGCTTGTTATGTATTGTTATGTTAGATACAGCAGACAGTACAGTTATATTTGGTGATAAAAAGGCAAAGTGACACCATCTCATTATATTAACCATTAACTTAACTCATTATAATAAACTAGTAATCATGACTCTAGAAGACTTAAATACTATAAGAAAACAAAACAACAGGTCATCCCACATTGTAAATCAGATAAATTGCTGCCAATCAAATCCACAAAAATTTTCTAAATTGCGACATAAAATGTAAGAAGCTAGTAATAACTGCAAAATTAAGGATACATACATCAATATACTGAATAATGTTAGAATTATATTGTTGCAAGTGATAATAACCCATAATAATGGAAAACTAAATTTAATAAATATTTATGGCCCAACTCCTAATATAGAACAAGATAAAAAAACTTTTACTCAACTTTATCCTACTGTTAGGGTGTCAGCACAAAATTCACATCCATGGTAGAATACCAAGATGTACACCCTCGATAATGATAAATCATTGAGAAGAGAATGAAACTAGTAATAGGACTTATATTCAAACACGAAAGAACAAAAACTCTACATACATAAACAAAATTATAAACTATAACAAAATAAATGTATTAGCCATGATTGTCAGCCAGAAGACAATTCATCATAAAATACAGAAGAAAAGCAATAACAACCTATTAATAATTTATGAAATCTATCTTAAGTACTTATAACTGAACAATCTAGTTGTGTACCTACTAAGAAGTTGTTATAACTTACATCTTAAATCCAAATTTTAAACCTACCTGAACCATCCAAACCCTCTAATACTATGAAAGGATGTCTCCTACTGTCTCCTGATGCATCAGATTTCTTTTTATTTTCTTTGGCACCTTCATAAATCTGTAATAGCTCTGTAACTCCATGTACTGCTAAATTCTACAAAGAGATAATAAATTCTACTAAATATTGTCTTCCTAGTTTTAACATTATTTAAAACCACAACAATCATTTTTATCACTTCCAGCTTACTTTTATATCAGAAGGATGAATACCATCTTCTAATTAAAAACACCTCAATTATGGTTTCTACCATCAGTCCGGAACATGATTATTTTGATATTTGATTACAGGTTACACTCTGAATAGTTGGAAATTGAGCTAGATACAAAGATATTTCTGGTTTTCCTGTTTTTAAATATAGTTTTTCTATATTTAAAAGTTCTAGCCCTCTCTTGAACTAAGCATAAACACTTCATTGGACTTAGGTTTGTATATAAAACCATATTAAATAAAAATGAATGTACCATAATAAATATTATTTTCTAGTGTATAGGAAACAATTCTTCAACAAAATATTTGAAAGTAACTAACCTAAAAATAAAGGTCTCGAATCTTGAGATATAATTTACTTACTTCAGGTTTCTTCAAAATGTTCAAAATTGAATCCAAACTATGGTATATAGAAGGAAATGGATTAGTCATGGTTAGAAAATATTTGATTTTCAAATTTTGTTGATAACAGCTACAAACAAATACTGAATCTGCCTGAAATCCGAAAAAATGAGCGGAGCGCAAAATTGTTTGGTAGATCACTGATCACTCATTCAATGTCTAATTCTCTCATTTTATTTGTTTTAGTTATGGGAATCACCCATATCCACAGCCCACATCATCACTAATTATCCACGAATTAAAAAACGACCAGTGTATAACCACACCAATGGGAATAGCACTGATTTTATTATGATTAACTGATGATTATGATGATTAAAATGCACTTTCGAAGGTCAAGGTATCAAACATTTTGTCCGCTAGAACAATTATTTTATGTAATTTCATAGTAATGATAGTTCATTCAATTCATTATCTACAATTTATAAAATTATATTTTTTTAATATTTGTTTGACTTATAACTCTATAAGTATGGTTTAAAATAAACAACATTTTATCGCTCAGCTACAGCCGGTCGTCTTGATAACCAATGATTAATCGTAATTACTTTAAATTTTAATTTTTGATTGGCTATATTAATGTAATGCTGTTAAACAGCAGCTGTTTCCACTTTATAATGGATTTACCACAATTTACCATTGCAAGTTAAAGATGGCGCTAAGAAAGAACTCAAGTAGCCATATTTGATCCGACGATGATTTATAATTTGAATAATTTTATAACAATGATGATTTATTATACGTTATTGACTGATGCAGATGTTCACAATAGGCAATCATATTTTATTAACATATGATAATTTACGTCTATGATGGGTAGCAGTATTTTATAATTTTATTCGCGTTCTGAAACGACCGTGCTGCCAACTGCTATCAAAATAGATAACTAATAAAATAGGGATAAATGTCAACAATTTGAATAAATCAAAGTTTAAAACTGATATAAATTTCATCAAATTTTAAAAATAATGAGCGATAAGAAGGAAAGTAATAGATATTGTTTGGTGCCATAATGTTCTGCTCGATGTACGAAATATATACATCTTCACTACTTTCTAAAGGACGAGAAATTACAAAAAAAACTGGGAAGTAGCTCTTCATATTGCGAAACCTGCGACAAAATTCATGAATGTAACCAGCCGACACTAAGAAATCAGATTACCTTTTTCCGAGTAAATCATATTTGATAGGAAATTTATTTAGATAATATTGTCTCAGCCTGGTTCTTTCTTAATCATTGAAATAACGTTTTACTTATTTTTTTAGATGTGAAGACTGGTAAACGATTTTTAAAAAAGGTTCCATTCCATGTAATGATTGACTTAATTCCAACAACGTCAACAATTACGGAAGATGAAATTGCACTTAACATAGGTACAACCATTAGTGCAGGTTAAGAACCCATTCGGAATAGGTCAAAGTTACATCAGTTACAGTAAATCAGCACAGAAGAGAAGGCTATCCAAATGACTACATCTGTATTAAGTTCAGGCAAAAAAGTTACTTTGTATGATTTGAAACAAACAAATCGCGATTTAAACACATTAATTGGAATACCCACTCTAAACTTGCTGGAACAAATTTGTGAAGCTGCTAGTTTGTTAGAAAACAAAAATTCTAAACCATTATTGCTTCAGCTAAAACAACGTATTGTTCTAGTGCTTGTTAAGTTAAAAACTGATCTCGCTTGTCTTTGCCTTTCTGTTATATTTGGTGTCGCGGTAAACACATGTAGCCTTTATTTTAGATAACAGTGGAAGTTCTTTCTGAAGTATTAAAACCTGCAATCCCCTGGCCAGGAAAAGAAGAGATTCAAAATAGGATACCTGTTAGTTTTATGAAATTTTCTAAAATAAGAAATATTTTGGACTGCACAGAATTACTTCAGAAGGGAACCACACATTAAAAGTTATGATTGGAATAGCACCATCAGTGAGGATGCTATGATAGATAAGGGCTTTTTGATAGAAAATGAAAAGAAAATCGAATTAATAAGATCGCCGTTTTTGAGAAAACGAAAACAATTATCAGTAGTAATATCCCTAGGACATTGATAACAGACGAGATAATTTTATGACAATCAAAAGCTCGTTCCTTGGTAACAGCACGAAGCCGAAGGCTTGTTAATTATTGCTTCTTTTAGTATTTGCATCATCTTGGCGTGCTGTACGCGACCAAACGCTTTCTTGTAATCAACCAGGCATGCGTATATGTCGCAGTTGACGTCTCTGCATCTCTGTAATAAGACTTGTACTAAGAACAAAGCCTCTCTAGTACCAACAGCATTTGTGAATCCGAACTCATTGGGGGAAATTTGACTTTCACAGAGCTTGTAGATTCGCTTATGAATTATCTTTAGGAACAATTTTAGGAGATGACTCATAAGGCTTATAGTACGGTAATCTTCACATTTTTTGGCTCTTGGTTTTTTTTTGGAAGTGCAATAAACTCAGATTTCAGCCATTCTATTGGTATTTCTACAGAGTTGTATATGTTGTTGAATATCTTTGCGATTATTGCTATTGATTCGTTGTAGAGAACTACGAACACAGAGAAGTGACACGAGCCCCGAAATCCGTGTACCGTTTCTGTATACGCATGCCCGAACCTGGTTGCTTTACTGTCAAAAGTAACGTGCGTTTACTTCAACTCTGGTTGTTTACGATAGTCCGTAGGCACCTGTGGTAAATACTCGACTATACAAGTGCATTTGACCATTTATCTAATTTACTTAGTAGTTAAAAGTTTATAGATAAAATATATAAGTTTATAGTTATAGTTTATAGTCAAAAGTTTAATTTATAAGTATTTAAAATGTCTCCTGGTTATTGTTGTGCGTTTCGCGGATGTTCATCTGTGACAGGAAAAAGAATAAAATTATTTAGATTTCCTAAGAATAATAACAGGTAATTACTATTGCTTTGTAATTATTATTAGTTATTACATAATAGTATTAATTTGACTTTCGATCAGTAAGCCGACGTGTCCGTCCGAGCTCTCGTTAAGTGGAGCAATAAAAAAATAAACTTTGATCTGCCTAGGGATAGTTCAAAATAAAAACATTAAATTTATTGTCTCCGAAGGCTCAGGTCAAAAAATCAACAGATGCCTACTGGTGTGAAAGCGTTCGCAGACAACAATACGAATATAGTATTTTTAGGAAATAAAAATATATAGAGGGTTTTATACACGAGAATATTTGATTTAAACGTAACAAAGAAATTTCTAAAATGCTCAAACTAAAAATTGTTGGAAACATAATTAGACCGATAATTGGGAAAATCTTAAAATTGCAACAGAACAAGACTTCAAAATAAAAACATGGTTGCAAATAAACAAACTTACATTAAATTATAAAAAAACTAAATACTCATCTACTTTTTGCTATATACAAAAGTTGTCTGTCAACGTTTAATTCGTTAAATATAAATAACAAAGATCAAATATATGGATCGGAGTACACAAGGTATTTAGGGAATAAATATTTAAATGGGAATTACAAATAAAAAATATTAAAACTTTATTTGTTGTATATCTCAATATTTAGTGACAATTTTGTGATTTAATCAGGAGAAAACTGTAAATTTATTAAGATGAGATATTGACAAAAGTTAAATACTTCATTACTTACAATAATACTTAGAATATACTAATACTCTTATAGTTGTAAGTAATGAAGTATTATTTATAAATACAAAAAGTTCTTTGTTTAAAATTTGTTCCATTAAAAATTTGTAGTGCCAAAATGTGGATAGAAGCTTGCAGACTAGAAGATTTATTGTTAAAAATGGATATACTTTATAATAGTTATAGGATTTGTGAACTACATTTTGAAGATAAGCTTATTGTCAAAAGTGCATGACGCAGTACCTTCCAAATTTCAATATAATACGATAAACACAATTGACTACCGTGAAGATATCGAAGAACCACACAAAACCCAGAAGTTTTGTCTAGTGCATAAAAATACTCACTAAATTTGCATGAAGTACTTTATCAGCAAACCTAAATTTATGTTTGATTTAATTGTTTGGCTTTGTTATTTTTCGATTATATTACGAAAGATAATTTATTAGGAAATTCCACGACGAACAAATTATATCTTGTATCAACACAAGCCAAAAAGAATCGGTGTATTATTGTATTATCAATGCCAACATCAGAATAAACAAAAAAGTATTTTCATCTATGGTCCATCAATACGATTTTCACCATTACTTTACGTTGTGCGATGTATTTGCAACCTTTTGTAAATCAAAAATAATTACACCATTTAGAATGTCAACAAAAGCCGGCCCTGCATGTAATTATTTTTTCAGTGCACTATTTCATATTTATTGAAAGTCAACATAAATGCTCAATTTTATTTAAGAATTTATATTGTGTGATATGCCCACTTACTATTAGTTAGCTGGTTGCTTTCCTGTCATTTCCACTCATTGGCAGCTTGACCACGCAAGATCAAAAGAGTGTCGCTTCTCTGCGTTCGTAGTTCTCTGTTCATTAGTTTGAGTAGTTCTGCTTGTATATTATCAGGGCCTGCCGCTTTGCCATCCTTTAACTGTGTTATTGCGGAATAAACTTCCTGCTGTAATATTCTTGGTCCATCATTGACCTCTTCTTCTAGCTCAAAGGTGTTTTTGGTCTTCAAATAGTTTTTCTAGATATTCTTTCCACGTTCTTATTTTACTGTTTGTCCAAGATGTTAGACTATGCGTTAGTCCTCCTGTGAGTTCTTTAACTTTCCTATGTACATTGTGACTATTGTACTTTGACTGCAGAGTCTCAATTTCTTTGCATCTTTCCCTTGCTTCTTTTTCTTTCGCAACTCCGATTTTCGTTCTTATTAATAAATTTAGGGTTTTATATTTGTCTGGGTCATTTTTGGCTTCTCTTCTCTCGTCCATTAGTTTCAGGATCTCTTCTGTCATCCATGATTTTTTCTTCATTAATCTATCTATCTTTAAGTGTTTATCCTTTACATTTTGCACTATTTCTGGAATTTGTTTGATTGTTTGTTCTTCGTTCTCTTCGTCTCTAATTGCAGTCACTTGCTCGTTAAACGTGGCTTGGACTCTTATCTTTGTATCAAGGTCTTTCAGCATGCGTATGTCGTATGATTGGGCTTTTCTTTTGTGCACTGTTTTGAGTTTGACTCGAAATACTCCCACCAGTGAAACGTGGTCTGTCTCCAAGTCTGCTCCAGGATAATTCTTGACAGATGTAAAGCTTTTTCGGAATCTTTTATTTACTAAAATATAGTCCATTTGATTCCTAATAATTCTTCCAGGTCTGTCTTGAGACGATTTCCACTTGTACAGCTTGCGAGGTGGTAATTGGAAGAATGTGTTGGTGATAACTAGTTCTGAGTCTTCTGCGAATTTTTCTAGGAGGTCTCCTCTCGTTTCTGACTCCCAGTCCATATGAATAATAATAGATAAATGAATAATTATAGATTAAGATTAAAAGAAAATATTACATCTATGCGAAAAATAACATTTTAAATCAACTTAAACTATATCTTCTTAGTTCTTTTGACAAAATACAGTGATTTCCTACTGTGAATTCATTTTTAATAATAATTTACAGAAGTCCATCTTTAATAGGGATAAATAACATTAACAATGGTGGAATGTTGATTAAAACAAAATGTAATATTAACACATATATTACTGAACCAAATGAGATATATCATCCATAATAGGAGACTGTTGCTGTTGTTGCTGCTGCTGCTGTTGATGCTGAATCTGTTGCTGTAGAGCAAAGTTCTGTTTGGAAAGAAGCAGCGTCGAGCCAGGCGATTGTGTCTGGAAGTTTGCTTGCGCTGATGGATTCGATACTACCACTAATTTTTGTTGAGTTGCCAACTTGGGCTGGGCTTGATTCAGGTTGGAAACGAATTTGACAACAGTGTTCTGGGATGTCGATATGCTCTGGCTTTGTTGGATTTGATGTGAAGTGCTCATTGGTGTTTGTGGTCTTTGAGATACAAACACGAATTTTTGATTGGATTGTGGTATTTGTGCTCTTGGACTGGGATTCATGACAATTGTTCTTCCAGCAGGGTTCTGCTAAAAATTAAAAATACCATAATTTGTTTTCAGAAGATTATTAATTGCTGATTAATTGAATTCCACACAAAACTTACCTGCTGGATTATACCACTTGGTGTATTGATAGTTTTCGTTATTGGAGAACTACAAGTAATTGGATTATTAACATTTGATACTGAAGTGGGCAAAATATTTGGCTGAGTTCTCGCTTTAACAACAGCTGCATGCAGTGACAGCCCTAAGTATCCATATTCTTGCCTATATTCATCTGGATTATCTGGTGGGTTCCTTATGCTCTTCAATACAGGAGCAAGAACTTTAATAAGTAACTGTTTGATATGCCCAGAGGCAATTTTTTCCATATTCGATGTTGGATTGCCATCTAGGTATCCTTCAATTCTATTTCCTACAAATAAATAACAATAAAATATGAATATGTATCTGAAGCTATTTTTCTTGTAGCAATTTTGTTTTTTACTATTTTTAATGGGAAATACCCACAATATTATTTGAAAACACATTTGTTTCTTGATTTCTACTTGAGTAACATGTACTTTAAGACCATTTTTGAGAAAATAATTGCATTTTCAATTAGTATTATGGTTATTTACCTTAAAAAAAATCTAATAAATGATAGTAAAATGTTATTCTTTTCGCTATTTGTGCAAATTGTGAATGAAATAAGATAAACTTACCAATATTCTTAACTTTTGGTAAGATAAAGATCCTAGTAACTTCCGCTCCCAGTTCTGACAATCCCTGTAGTGCACCATACAATGAAGAAAGAGGGACTTTATCCTGCTGCAATGCATTCGTAAACATTCTCGTAACACGGGTCTGTATGTTATTTGTACTAGTGTTGAAATTTTTGCAAATTTGAGCCATCAGTCTTGATGCAAAATCTCTGAGAGCCCAGTGATTGTCTAATTCTGGCCTCATACATAACTGTTTTGATACTATACATGTTGTTACTGAAGGAATCAATTCGTGAAGCTAAAAAATAGCATTTTATAGATAAATGTACTAAAAATGCTGATTGTAATATGTAATGAAACATGTCTAAATGGACGATCAAAATACAAATGAAAGAAGCAATTAAACAGAAAAAAAAATATCTAATGCCACAATTGGTAAAGATCTATAAAATTTAGAATAACACACAATTCACAGAGTCAAACAATTCTTATTTTAATGTTTTAAATAATAAATTCATAATACTTACATATTTCTCTAAATATAGTGACTGATTGTCTAACAGTGCTTTAACCATCCTCATCAAATATATCAAAAGGGCCAAATTGTTCTGAACAACATTAACTCTAACACCTTCTATAATGAAGGTACACATTCTGGGCAACATTTCATGTAGACCAGGATCTGATGCTAAACTTTGTAGGGCTTCTGCTCGCCTAGCTTCATCAGACCCTACACAAGCCTCTGTTATTTCTTTATAGTACAACTGCTGCTCAACAGAGAGTTCATGGGTTGCTAACTGTTTAATTTGGACTGTCTCTACATTTTTGAGTTTCTGTTTTCCTGTTGTTGGCTTTCCTGATGTTTCTTTTATTGGTTTTTTGTTTACTGGATCCACTGATTCCAACTGAAAAAATATCACAATAAGAAATGGATAAAAATAACATTGTGACTATATTTTATAATGTTTAAAGATTTCTGAGTGTGATAATTAGTATTGCTAGAGATTTCATTCATAATCTTAAATCCTAGATGGGAAATTAAAAAGATAATAAGACTTTATAGCCTATAATAAAAATAGAAAGAAAAAATAAACTTGGCAATCTATATTTTATCATTTACTGTCATGTGTTCAATTATTACATCTAATTAAAAAATAGCAATATTATTCACCATCTTTTCTATAAATATATTCCATATTTATGGCAACATATGAATCTTAAAAATATCATCTTAATATATACTCAAAAATTGCTAATTTTTGGCTAATACTTTAATTAGAAAATCTTGGCTAATCATAACTCTGTTTAATGCTTCAAATCTCAACAGGATAATCTTCAATAAATCTACAGCTTGAGTGAACTGTACAGACTACTAATTCATGCCAAATTTTCTTATTAATTTTCAAACTCAATTAAAAATAGGTACTGGAAATATTCACTTCATTACTTTTTGTACAACTTTTGCAACTGGAGGTGGATTTTCAGGTATAGTAGGCTGTACTCCATCAATAAACATCCAGTGAGACCTCAAAGTAGTTTCTAGAGGGGCCTTCGGACACATATTTTGGAGCAACTCATTCAAATCAACTTCTTTTTCTTCAATGAAATGCAACTCTCGTCCCCCACCAGAAGCGAACCGAAAAGGTAAATGTTCTGTTGATTGAAATCCATATTGGGGCTAAAAAAAAAATAAAAATTGTAAAACACTAAACTACAGAAAATGTGTTAATATATGTGGTACCTCAATATTTTTAACTTTCAGAGCAGAATCTACATCAGTTTGTAATAATTTCGTTCTTTTGGCGTTGTTCATAAATTTCGCAGCATCTTGTATAATGTGCTTTATTCTAAACGATATATCTTCAGCTAGTTCCTTTGCAGCATCATCAGCTAAATAACCAATTCCTATACTTTCTGCAATAACTTTCATAGACTCTGTTGAAAAATTGGTACCGTACAAATCGTGATCACCTATCTTGGACATTTTTCACTTCTACTGAATTTTAATTAATAGCTTCCAAAATTTCTCATAATTGTTTTACAAAAGTATAACTTTTTTTTATTTATTTACATAAACGATAAACACACACCACTCTATCTGACATATTTCTTCTTCTTTTGGATGAATGTTGTCAATTGTCATATTGTCAATGTCTTCATATTGACTATTGACAATTCAAGAGATTGACAGCCATTTATGACAGCACATTTTTTATAAAATCCTTTTTACAGCTTGCAAGACGCAAGAAATACAGTCTGATAAATGAACATTTTAAGGTAATAAGAATAAAAGAAAATCGAGACTAAAATATTTCGCTAATACTGATATAATCGATATAAAAAAAAGTTAGCTTTCATCCATAGCATCCTCGAACGTATGAGTATGACCACAGCCACCTTTGAAGTAAAGGTGGCTGTGGTATGACCACAGCCACCTTTACTTATGACATATCTCTGGTATGTGTACAAAAATAGTTGGTACGCTTGTCATATGCGCTTGACATGTGTCGTTAATAATTTTGACAGTAAAAAAATAAGGAATAAACAAATAACATCGTTTAAATTCTGTGTATTAATTTTTTTGAAATGGAAGAATACGATAAAATTTTTAATAATGATCCGATTTATATGAAAAGTCTTCTGGGAAAACAAGTCAAAATAAAAACTGTAGATAGTAGAACTCATTCTGGAATAGTTTATGTGATTGATCCCGTTTTCAAAACAGTTGTTTTACATACAAATTGGAAGAGTATTAAAGACCATGACACGCTTATGATTATGCATCATGCTATTGAATCTATTGAAGAATTACCTGAACCAGTTAATGAGAGTTATTTAGAAGAAACATCAGAACATAATTCAAAAGAGAGAAAATATGCAGTAAAAAAGTGGTTGAAGAAAATGATGATAAATGTGAAAGAAAGTGGTGATTATTTAAAAGTAGACGATCATTTAGTAATTGTACCTCCTTATGGCCCAGAAAATTGTATATGTAATAATACAATTGTTTTAGAAAAAGTACAGAACATTTTAGAAACCATGCCTAAAGATTTTTATTAATAAGTGGTGCCTGTGATGTAAAACTTGGTAAAACCTGGTAAAACTAAAAAGCCATTATTTAAGTTTTCATTACAGTAACATATTTTATTACTTAGTTTGTAAGTTTAATAATGGTTAATATAAAATTTGAATTAAGTGTTTTAGTTTTTACCTATGATTGAAAGCTTTAGATCTTTATAAATATCTCACAAACAAGAAATAATCAGGAAATAAATAATTTTTATGATTCTGTGGTTTAATATTAAGAAAAACATAGTTTAATATTAATTATAAAGAAGGAAAATAACAGAAAATGATATTATTATAAAGTATGCAATAAAATATGATAATAGGTCAATAGGAAAACATTCTTAAATCACTATAGAAGTAGACAAAAATGGAAAGTCTTATGTGTTTTATCTTTTATATTGCTGTTTTATGTATTCTTTTTGTTTTTACTACATCTGCTCTTATTTTTGCTATCGAAATTTTAACACATTGTTGTCAAGACTGGTTCTTCAACCTCTTTACCAGTAAAATATCAAACATTTTGTAATAACATAGAAATTATCTGAGAACAATACCAAGTACATCTTTACACTCTTGGGGTGATTTCAATTTGCTGAAAGCAAATCAGTGGAAGACTTCAATGACTAGCGTAACTCTTGAAGCATCCAATTCAGAATAATAAAAATAGTGGTTTAATTTCTAATGTATATGCCTTTCTTAACTTATTTCAAGTAAATCATGTTCCCAATAATTTAGGCAATATGTTAGACTTGCTGCTTTCTCATGACATGGACACTGCTGTAGCTAAAGCTAATAATGAACTTGATACAGTGGGTGTGTACCACCCTCTTTTATTATATGAATCATTGACTTTGTAAAATGTACTAATTATGGCAGTCATTCACACAGGGAGAAGTTTTACTATGACTAGAAATCAACAGATCTAACTCTAAAGGTGTAAAATAAATAATATACTGAGAATATACAATTGAAATTTTATTTGAATAGTAGAATATAAATATCTTTATATAAATAGAACTTCTAATAAAATATAAAGAAACATAACGAAAATGTAATATCATTTTTGCTAATAAGTGTAAAAGTTGGGACATAAAAACCTTCAGATCCAAATATTTACATATAAGTATTTATTATTGCATACCTAATAAATATATAATACACAACAAATATATATTTTTTTAATTTAAAAAATACATGAAAAAGAGTCAGTTTTTATTATCTAAAAACATCCATTATTATCTGATAAACTAGACAAATTATAACTCATTAAATTGTTTACCTTATACAATACTTAAAAGTATTAATAATTCTGATGAATTTTAGTCCCAAACTTTTTAAAATAATTTTTTTAGAGTGAAGATCTTAAAAGGCTTTTTTTCAATTATTTTAGATACTTATATTGCTTTCATATGTTGAATATTGGGGGCTCGATAGTTGATATTTACTGGCAAAACACATTTTTATTTATCTCAAAATAATATTTAATTGAACTTTACATGACAGTGGAACAGAGAAATTGTGGACTTTATTAATCTGTAAGTCATCTTAAATTTTTATAATTGGATGTCCTCAGACCTGGACTGGCTCATTAAAAAGGCACCAACGCAAACTTTAAAAAAGGTGCCAATCTAAACTCTAAACAAAAGCGCAAACCCCCCTCCTAAGTTTTTTACATCAAACTTTTTTGAAATCACAATGCATCTAAGTAAATCAACATTATTAGTTTTTTTTTTAAATAGCTTCTCATTATGCCTTTTACTCAATTATATACTTTTGTACACCCTAGATACTCCAATAAATTTTTAAAAAGTGCAAGTAATTTTTTAACTGCTTATAACCGCAAAAATCTATGAGTCCAAAAATTTTAACAAAAGTCATATTGATTGGTGGTAAATAGAAGTCACTTTCTTAATGTTTACAATTTTTAATGCATTCTAAAACTCTATATAAAATACTTTCAAAAATGGGAGTATTTAGTAAGGATTATAAATTATCTGAAAATATTTTTGCCATTGTAATTCTATTGTTTTGAGATAGTACTTTAATTTACACATTGGACATACCACAATTCAAACATTTAGAAGTAAATACCACCCCAAAGAGAGAAAAAAGTGTACAGATCTTGATAGAGTCACTTTTGGTCAGAAAACCTTATCTTACTATTATTTATCTGATCAATGATGACATTAAAAGTTTTGATTCTGAAAGAATCTTTAGTAGCATTGAATTCGGTATCATTGTTAGCATTTTCACCTGCCATTTTTTTATGAATAATTGTTCGTCCACTGCATGGTAGTTTGTTTTCGATGAAAATGTTATGTAATTCTAAAGATGGTTTCTTAATTATTTTTTTGTCAAAGAATTTCTGTCATTGCTTCAAGAAAGCTTTGTGCAGCAACCACCACTTTTGGCAAATTACTTCTAATATCTTTTAATTTATTTTGTGCACTAGATATCATGTGCTATGCCCATAAATAATCAAAATTTTTTATTTGAAATCTGATAAAGGAGTGATTGTTTTAAGATTCAGTTTTAAGTAATCAAGGGAAACATCGTGGCAGTTAGAATAATTTCAAAAGAAGTAAATTTCTGAAGGCTGTTCAGACATTTGAACTAAAATTCGGATAATTCGCTATTATGAAGAGAGATATAGTTAATTCTAAATATACATATTTGCAATGTGATGTATTATCTCTTTCTATAGAAACATCTTTTACCCATTTTTGTCAGAAATCTTACAAAATAAAATCCATTCGACAAATGAAATGACTACAACTAATATAAATAACGACTTAACTTCATAGCACAGGAGGGGAAAAAGGTATACCTTTCACAGAAATTATTTATTCCCATTCCCTCCTGCTCTAATGCCAATAAGCTGAAGTCTCAAAGAAAGTCAACCAAAAAGCATTCCATAATTTTCACACCATTGAAGGGGTAACTAAAAAAAACGAAAATAAAAATAAAAGAAGAGAAAAAGCATAAACATACAATCAAATGCTCAAAACCATCTATTGACCAGGCAGTAAATGAAAGCGATGACGATCAAGACAAAGATTTTAATGAAGACATTTGCATTATATGTGGGGAATTCGGTATAAATGGTGAAGTATGGTTAAGATGTGTCATATGTGGTCAACGGTCACATAAAGAATGTGCAAATGCGGCCAAAGAAAAAAAATACATTTGTGACTTCTGTTTATAATGGTGGCCACCATTACCCCACTGATGCGGGCAATACCGACCAAGACATGGTTTTTTCATTTGTTTGTATTTTGAAAAATAACATTTTTGTAACTTATATAATAACTAGGTTTTAAAGACCACATTGTATTTTTTCAATATACCCCCTTTCCATTTCTAAAAATAATTTTGGTTTCATGTTATTACTGATAGACCTTAAGCGGCCTTCATTTCCCCATTTTACGCTATATTTTCAAATGTATTAGTGTATAATACAATTAACATACCAATAGTGAATATAACTGGGTATTACAAAAAAAAACATAATAGTGAAATAAATGCTATTGAGATGAAAGAAAAATAATTCACAACACAAGGAAAGACTGAATCAGAAATGATCAAACAAGAAACCAACTAGACCAAGAATCTATATAAGTAAAATAACCAGAAAACGAAATGACTTGGATACCTACAGAGGATGGGAGACGAAAGATGGCCAAAGAGAATATTAGAAATTAAAAGAGCAAAGAAACGAAAAAGAGGACGGCTAAGCAAAAGTCGAATAAATGAAATTACGAAAGCAGGTGAAGCCAGAGGGATAAACTACACAGAAATGAAAATTATATCGAAAAATAAAAATAATGAAAAGAAATAATAAATACAAAGACAATAAAAAATCTGACAATCTAGGGGGTAAAAGGAGTTAGAAGAAGTTAATATATTAAAAACATTAAATTATTTAACATAATGACGGTGTTGGATTTTTGTTTCGATGTAGGGCAGCAGCAAACCGCTTATAAGTATTTCGAACGTCATTATGTTTTATTTCTTTACTCCGTTTGGAGTACCAGAAACTGAATTCACTACGAATTTTGACAATTATGAACGGCAGGTGGAATGCATATTTTAGATTCCCTTGCTGAGTAATTCATCAATCTGTTTGCTTTGCAAGTTGTAGAAGGCACAGTGGTAAAAATTTGAATTCAGTTTCGCCAGGTAGGAAATCGTAAGATTTCTTTTGTTATTACATTATTTATAATAATATATCTTGAAACCATTTAATATTCTGTTACATAAAAAACGATCAATCTTTCTATGATTATCCAGGCTTGAATATAGATGGGATTGGACACCAAATATATCATTGAAGATATTGAAGCACAGTTATTTGATCCAGTACTATCAACGAATATATTTATGAATGTCTATACTCGTTGGTACTATTGGGGAAATTTTATTACATTTACACGAAATTTATCAATATTTACTATCCTTATCATTACATTCATGTAAACGAGTGATGATTTTACAATTGTACTGTAGTTCCTTCTTCTTGTGATCCCAAACCCACTTGTAGACATATACCTACTGATTCTTTGCAAATTGTACTTATTATAAAAATTATAAAAAATATCAGTTACGTAAAGTCTAATTTAATTGTAACAATTTATAGCAACATTTTTTTATATGTATCTATATATTTGCCAAATTTAATGCCTTAAAAGACTTTCATTCAGGTACAATTTTTTACCAAGCCGATAAACTAATATTGGTGCTGGAATCCTTAGTTTTTAGATTATTCTCAGTTGATTTGTCATCAATTGTGATTTGGTCGAATGTATCCAAGAAATATTCAATCTTTTCCAACAAATTTGTAGCCACATTAGCAAATTCCTCCCAAATGAGATATTCTTGTGTAACATAAACGTCCATGTCCTCCATGTGCTCTTCGATGCCGAATATTTTTTCCTCGTCTAAAAATAATATTAAAAATAAATACAGAATACCAGAAAAACTACTAAACCATTTAGACAACCAACAGTCCTGATGTTACATTGGGTACGAAACTTACCTAAATAATCTGCCAACAAAACAAGTAATTTGTGTATTTCTGACTCTGAAAATAGTTCGTGTAGGTCAATCGTATCGATGCAATAATTCCAAAGGACTTGGCAAACAAGATTTCCTAAAGACCAGTCGTGATCACACTCCGTTGTCAATATTTTGATTATTTTTGAGACGCCTCCATTGTTCTTAAAGAGAATTCTGGAACGGTTGTCCGACATAAGATTCACAAAAACTCCTACCGTTGTTTTAAGCTGTGAATGGTCAACTGAAATGAAAAAACTACTATTAAATTAAGTGCATTGGTGTGTTCAAAAATCAGAAAAAAATTACGAGAGAATTTTCCAGTCTCATCCTTTGGCGAACATATGGTTTAAATTAGCTCCATTAATGTTACAACAAAAATTTTAATTAAAAACAAAATCAAATAGAGAGTCAAATACTAGAAGGTATACATTATTGTGGGAAAAAACAAGTTTTTTTAAACAAACTCAATAATTTGGTAATTAAAAGATCTATAATACGACAAAGCTGAATTGAACTGCTCTTCCTCGAGCCACCAACAAGTAGCTATGATTATTTGACTAAAAATAGCACTCTTTTAAGCTATTTTGCCAGCTAATTATATCTTTCCTATCATGTGCCTGTATGTGCTGCATGTATCATGTGCCAAGAAACAATGCCAGATGAATGGAAAGAAGGGGTTATTGTACCAATACACAAAAAAAGAAACAAAAAGCAATGTATTAACTACAGGGGAATAACACTCCTAAACACCACCTACAAAATCCTTGCAAACATCCTGCTAGAAAGAACCAAAACATACACAGAAGAAATCGTTGGAGATTATCAATGCGGATTTAGACCGAGCCGCTCTACAATTGACCAGATATTCACAATAAAACAGATAATGGAAAAATGCTGGGAGTTTGATCGTGAGCTTCATCAGATGTTCATAGATTTTAAACAAGCATTTGATAGAGTGTGTAGGGACAGACTGTGGACAGCGATGCAGGAACTTGGCTTTCCAAAAAAACTAGTCCGGTTGATACGGATGTGTATGGAACGGTTACGATGTAAGGTGAGAGTTGGACAACAATACTCGGAGACATTTGAAATAAACAATGGACTAAAACAGGGAGATGCACTTTTACCACAACTCTTCAACTTAGCTCTGGAGCACATAATCAGAAGTGCAAGAATCGAATAACCGAATACAGTATTTCATCGAGAAGGACCAAACTTACTACTGGCATTTGCAGACGATATAGATCTAATAGGAAACACGCGATTAAGGATGAAGGAGACTTTCGTAAGGTTTGAGAAGGAAGCAGAGAAGATGGGGCTCCAAATCAACGAAAACAAGACGAAATATATGTATATGAGCCGCAATAACCAAAGCAGAGACAGAATCGGTCAGAACATTACCATCGATGACTTTAACTTTGAGCGCGTTAGAGAATTCAAGTATCTTGGAACAACAATAACTGAAGACAATAACGGATCACAAGAAATAAACAACAGGATTCAGGCCGGCAACAGATGTATTTTTGCCCTCCAAAACCTTATAAAATCAAAACAACTAACACGACGTACGAAGATACAGGTCTATAAAACAATCATACGACCCGTTGTGATGTATGGAAGCGAAACGTGGACGATAACAAAGGCAAATGAAGAGAGACTACGTGTTTGGGAAAGAAAAATCCTAAGGAAGATCTTTGGTCCGGTGCTTGATGAAGCATCAGGACAATATAGGATAAGAACTAATAAAGAGCTTGAAGAACTTTACCCAGACGCCAACATCATAAAAGAAATAAAGTCCAGAAGACTCCAATGGGCAGGACACCTCAGAAGACATTCTGACGAACGAACAGTAAGACTGGTGTGGGAGGAAGTCCCAACTGGAAGGAGACCACGCGGACGTCCTCGTCTCCGGTGGCGAGATAATATAGCAGGAGACCTAAGCACTATGGGCGTGGAGAATTGGATGGAGGTTGCTCAAGACAGAAAACAGTGGAGGCATGTTGTCGAGTCGGCTAAAACCCACGAAGGGTTGTAACGCCACCGAGTAAGTAAGTAAGTATCATGTGCTGTCTATATATCTAATATTTGAGCTGTTACTTTAAATTTTTTAGACTTATTTATAGTAGGTTCCTTCATTCTCTTCTATTCATCATGTCGTTCTTGTTGATGATTATTTAATCATCACGGCTCAACTCATGTTTGCTGTAGAAGTTATTCATTTTTATAATTTTTTTATAAAGATCTAAGGTCGTTAAACATTCCTAGCGGAGGACAGCAACGATCACCAGTACCAAGTTAAGGACCATGAGAAAGGATCCTAAACCGCCACAATTATAACACTGTGATACAGAAGGGCAGGGGAATCCACTGCAATTATAATTTACACGAATGTAAAGTGTAATGCCATCTAATAGTGTCTTGGATGACGTCAAACAGTACTAAGCGGAGAGCAGCAACGATCGTCAGTACCAAGTTAGGGATCATGAGAAAGGATCCTGAACCCTCTTATCATTGGATTACCACAAGCGAATCTGTGACAGCAGAATGGTTATAACACTGTGATACCGAAGGACAGGGGAATTTACTACATTATTATTTACAAGAATGGATTTGAAAGAAATGGATTTCGTGCAGGAAGATCGTGCACTGATGGTATATTCGTTCTGCAGCAGGTAATCGAAAAACGGAAGGCAAGGAATCTATCTACCCACCTATTGTTTGTAGATTTAGAGAAGGCATACGATACGGTACCTTTGAAAAAACTGTTTCAAACATTGACGAAATTAGGTCTTAGTAGAGAGTATGTGGATGCTATCGCAAATATATACAAAAATGCAAGAAGTGTCGTTAAAGAAAGAAACCTTATATCTGAATCATTTCCAATAACAAAGGGGCTTAAACAAGGATGTTGTCTATCTCCGACCTTATTTAAGATATTCAATCATCGCTAGAGCAGTGGAGGAAACAAGTATCCGGAATGGGAATAGACATAGGCGATGGTAAATGTCTAACAACTTTATTTTTCGCAGATGAATCAGGTAGTCGTAGCGAGTGATGAGAAAGACATGGACTACATGTTTAGAAAACTAAAGAAAGAATATGAAAAATGGGGCCTCAATATGAATATGTCAAAGACAGAGTATCTTAAAATAGGAGATGATGAAGAAGATCCAGAATTAGAAATTAGAAACACAAAAACATGCAAGGAATATAAATATCTCGGATCTATAATATCTAAAGAAGGCACTACCAAAAGAGACATCGAAAACAGAACGCAGCATTGAAAAAAAGCGGTTAACATTCTAAACTCTCTACTATGATCTAAAGATATTAAACAAGAAACGAAATTGACAATCTATCGAACCTTGGTAGAGCCTATTATGACTTATGGGGCCTCAGTTTGGCAGATCACGAAAAAAGATAGTAAAAGAATAGAAGTAGTAGAAATGGATTTTCTAAGAAGAGCGTGTAATGTATCCAAAAAAGATCATATCAGGAATGAAGATATTAGAAGGAGGACAAATACTGTATATTCCAGTGTAGACAGAATTGAAACGAGACAACTAGTGTGGTATGGTCACATGAAGAGAATGAATGAAGATAGATGGCCAAAGAAAGGTTTAAATTACATACCACAACAAAGAAGAAGAAGGGGAAGGCCTTCAGTTGCAAAGATTATTTACAAGAATGTCAAGCGTAATGCCATCTAATAGGGGGTCTTGGATGCTGCCAAACAGTACTAAATGGAGGACAGCAACAATCGCCAGTGTCAAGTTAAGGACCATGAGAAAGTATCCTGAACTGTCTTATCATTGGTCTACCACAAGCGAAGCTGTGACAACAGAATAGTTATAAGACTGTGATACAGAAGGGCAGGGGAATTCACTGCATTATTATTTACAATAATGTCAAGCGTAATGCCAATGAGTTACATGTGTTTATATTTTGAAAGCAGAAATGGTTTCTTGTGTAGCAAATTATTAGCTAAACTCATTACAAAAGCATCTATATTTGATTTTATATGCCAAAATGAACTAATTTTATTTCTATCAACACATATTTTAACTGTAAGAACGATATTGTATATATTTCATTATTTCATTTCGATATTTCATTTCTGCTAAATGAAAATTAACATTTTTTAAATATTCTTACCGGTCTCTAATAAATCTATGAGAATCTCAAAAACATCGGTTTCACATATGTAGTTTCGGGTTACTTTTGATCGGGATAAATTTCCTAAAATTCTCATTGTTTCTATAACACATTCTTTATTTTCCGATTTTGCGTACTCCGTTATACCTGGAAATGTAATAAATATCAACAGTGGGATAAAATTAATTCTAAAACTATGTAAATTATTAATTCCTAGAACTAGAAATTTATTAGATATCATCAGGTTCATTATTCATTTGCAGAGACTAGATTATTAAGGGTGGGGGGAGTATGGAGCACCAACAGAAAGGTGCTAAATGGAGTTTTCCAGCCGGTGGTAACACACGCTGCCCCTGAATGGTGTATAGATGAGAATGAAAGAGAAAGAACGAAAGTAGAATGGCAGGGAGAATGGGCGAATAATAGTGGAAAGGCAAGGTGGACGAAGGAGCTTATTCCCGATCTGAGACCGTGGTGGGAATGTAAATTGACGAAACTAGATTACTTCCTGACGCAGTTTCTGACCGGACATGGTAGTTTTGGCACCTTCACAAATAGAATACGTAAATCTGCCTCGGCAGACTACTGTTTGTGGGGGTACCCATACGCTACCGCCCACATTTTTAACTGCCAGAGATGGGCAAATGAGAAGCGAATGGGTTTCGGGCTGGATGGAAGAAACATTGTAAACATAATGTTGAAAGGAAATAAAGAATAGAGAGAAGTACACTGTCTGATTTCTGGGGTGATGAAGAAAAAGGAGCAGAAGGACAGAAGAGGAAATTGAGCCATGGATCTGAAATTTATAGTTATATGGCCTGACATCTAAACATTTTCTGATTTACGGTAATAGGTATGGTTATTTATAAACTTTTAGTTTTTATTTTAGTTGTTTATTAAGTGGCAAGACCACCTCTCTGGAACGGTGGTTAATCCGGCACTACCTTGGGGTCTTCTGGCCTAGTATCCTACTCGGCTGAAAGTTGTCAGGGTGTCTTGTTCCGTGACGTAGATGTCCAAAAAAGATTTCCCCCACCGTTGCCTGTCAGAATTCAATGGATACCTTCTTAGGCTCTTATTGGAATCTGGCAATACGACAATTGAAACAAAAAAAGGTTCATTCTTCATTTGCAGAGGCCACATTATTAAGGGGAGGGAGTATGGTTTCATTTTTAGTTTTTTTTTTAAATTTTATTATTCGATAGTATAACTCTTCAAGAGTATTCAGTTAAAATTTTAGAGTCATAAGAGAAAAACTGACGGAATTATAGGCATTTATAAGTGAGTGAGTTAAGTGAGTAGATAAGGTGAGTAAGTGAGGTAGGTGAGTAAGGTGAGTGAGTGGGGTGAGTGATTGAGATGAGTGAGTGAGGTGGCTTATTGAGCTGAGTGAGGTGAATGAGTGAGATGAGTAAGCACTCACATAGAAATTGGAATAAGTAAAGTGTTAAATTCACATAATTCTGCACTCGCAGCAGATAAAAATCGAATTACTAGGGCGGCTAAAATGACTTCAGATGCAACAAAAAAAAGTGTGTTCCAACGAAAATACAAAAAAAGTGTGTTCCAACGAAAATTTGAGCCCCTCCCCCGAAATCCAGAAACCAAGAGTAAAAAAAAAACACGTCAATTGTATTGGGAGGCGGACAAATTTTCATCCAAAACTCATGCCCTCAAATGTAACCCCCTACTGCCCCGGGTCAACCAATAGTTTTTTTAAATAAATTTTTTTAACATCAATTTTTCTATACTGCACTCTATTTTTTTTAATTTTCGGAATAACTTTGAAAATAATTTTGGATTTAACTAATTTATTGGTTGAACACAGTCATAACACAAAACATAAAATTTCATTATGTGGCCTCCCTACAATAATACAGTATATTTTCAAAGTCACTTTAATGCGACAGAGAAAACTGACACAAAGCGGTCCCTGCATCTCTGTCTAATTTGCCGAGTTTATCGACCACGTGACCTTTTTATTGGTCATTTAGTTCACGTAGTCGATAAACCTGGTAAATTAGAAAGAGATGCAGGGACTGCTCTGCGTCAGTTTTCTCTTTCGCACTGGGGGAACGGGTTGGTATTGCAACGATCAGTCTATCTTGTATGTCTATGGGTTTGAAAAACTTAATCCGCGTAACAACATTTTGGTTATATTTTTCGCACACTTTTTAAAATAATCTTTTTTGAAAACAATTTTCGTAATAAAAATCAAAACGTCAAACAGCAGTTAAAAAATATAATTTTCGTTATAATAAATTGTGGCTTTGTCTCATATAAATGTAATATTTAACCAATATTACAAATTTTATTATACAGGTATAAGGTAGTGGAAAGGTTTCTGGAAATCAAGACCATATGCATCGAAATGGAGTAGCAATAATTATCAAACAGCATATTAATAAGTATGTCACTAACTTCATCCCAATATCAGACAGAGTAATTTTAATACAGCTGAATGCTAAACCTGTAAATATAAATATCATCCAAGTTTATGCTCCCACTGCTGACGCAGATGAGCAGAATATTGAAGAAGTCTACCATCAAATAGAAGAAGTACTAAAAATAACAAAGAAACACGAAGCAATAATAATTATGGGTGACTTTAACGCTAAAGTTGGACAGAAGATGACGCAGGGCATCACCGGAAAGTTTGGCTTGGGAGACAGAAATCAAAGAGGTGAACGGCTAATAGAATTCTGCCAAGAAAATGACTTCGCCATTACAAATACCTGGTTTCAACTTCCAGAAAGGCGTCTTTACACGTGGAAATCCCCTCAAGATGGACATCAAGGCAGAATAGTACGGAATCAAATAGACTACATCCTAATAAACCACCGATTTCGAAACAATATTAAAGATGTAAAAACTTACCCCGGCGCTGACATAAACTCAAATCACAATTTACTCTGCTCCAAAATACAAATTAAATTGAAGAAATTAACAAAGCCAACTAAGCCTTGTAAGATATATCTCGACCCCCTGAAAAACCCTCAAACGCGCGAACACATAACACAGCAAATAAATAGTAAAATACACAGAATATCAAATATACCAAACGAAAACAGAACCATTAACGAATGCTGGTATGCCATTCAAAACTCGATTTTAGAGAACGTACAAGAGTCTTTACAAACACCTACCATGTTGGCAAAAAATGAGTGGATGACACAAGAAATTCTAGATCTGATGGAAGTTCGACGGCAACACAAAAATAGAAATATTATCGAATATCGTGAAATTAATAAACGCATAAAAAGAAAAATTAAGCAAGCCAAAGAATCCTGGCTTGAGAATTTATGTAAAGAAATAGAAGACCTCCAAAAAAAGCATGACAGCTTCAACCTGCATAAGAAACTTAAATATACTGCCGGAATTAGAAAACAGAAAAATGCTCACATACTTAAAAGCGCGGACGGAAAAATTTGTGATCACGAACAACAGTGCAAAGAATGGGAGAGATACATCACTGACCTTTTTGACGATGCTTCTAGGGAAAATGCTCCAAATACTGCCTATGACAACCAGTTGGACAGAGGTCCCAATATACTGAATTCGGAAGTCGAAAAGGCAATACAGCAAGCCAAAAACAATAAAGCACCTGGACCAGATCAAATCCCTGCCGAACTACTTAAACTTTTGGATGAGGAAAGCATTGCCTGCTTAACCACTTTCTTCAACAAAATTTACAACGAAGGAAAAATACCAGATGATTGGTTGGAGTCACTGTTTATAACATTACCAAAGAAAAGCAGACCCACCAAATGCAGCGATTTTAGACTAATCAGTTTGATGAGTCACACACTGAAGATACTCTTACGAATTATACAAAACCGAGTATTCCTTCTATGCCAAAGTAAGATGGGTGATAAGCAATTTGGATTTAGAAACGGTCTAGGAACTAGAGAGGCACTATTCTGTATGCACGTTCTAATACAAAAAAGTTGTGAATTCCGAAAGAATGTTTATGTTTGTTTCATCGACTTCGAGAAGGCGTTCGACAGAGTCCAACACAATACACTTTTCGACTGCCTACGGGCAGCAGGACTTGACCACTATGATATAAGACTGCTGAAATACTTATATTACAATCAAGTAGCCTCTATTCAAATTGGAGACAGTCCCACTGAAAAAATACCCATCAAACGTGGAGTACGGCAGGGTTGTGTTTTGTCACCCACTCTTTTTAATCTGTACTCTGAAGAAATCTTTAGGGAGGCTTTGGATGACAGACAAGAGGGAGTAAGACTAGGTGGAGAAGTAATCAACAATATTAGATACGCTGACGATACAGCCATTCTTGCAGAAAGTTTACAAGATCTCCAAACATTACTAAATCTAGTCAGTGAAGCAAGTTATCGAAGAGGCCTAAAAATCAACCTTTCAAAGATAAAGTGGATGGCAGTTGGAAAGATCCATATAGATCAAGGTCTGCTTTCTCTTAATGGAGAAGAGATAGAAAGGGTAAATCATTTTAAATACCTTGGCAGCTGGTTAAATGTAAATTGTGACTCTGATGAAGAGATAATATCCAGGATCGAAATATCACGTAAGGCTTTTATGACCTGGAAACCAGTTTTATGTAACAGAAACCTGTCAATGAACATTCGTAAGAAGGTCCTAAAATGTTATGTGTGGTCGATCCTATTGTATGGTTGTGAGACATGGACGTTAAAAACCACAATGCTAAACAAGTTAGAAGCATTCGAAATGTGGTGCTATAGACGAATCCTAAAGATATCGTGGGTTTCGCACACTTCCAATGAAGATGTTCTTCAAATGATCAACTCAGAACGTCTGCTCATAAACATCATAAAGAGGAGAAAAACATAATACTTCGGCCATATAATTAGAGGACCCAAATACCATTTACTTCGCCTTATAATACAAGGAAAAGTGGAAGGAAAGAGATGGATTGGTCGAAAGAAACTTTCATGGCTGCGTAATATTAGACAATGGTGTGGTTTCACAGTAGAAGAATTATTTCGCGCAGCAGCCGACAGAGAAAGGTTTCAGGAAATTGTAAGCATGATGACGGCCAACGTCTGAATACGGACGAATACGGAATAGTGACGCCAAATAAGGCCAGTGTCTTAATAAGGCCAATTGTAAATATTTCCTTTTTTTTTAACCTATTCTCTATC